TCTCTGACCCGACTTTCAGACTGTTGTCAGGGAGTATTAAGGTTCTCCAGAGAAACAGAACCAATAGGATACACACAACAGACATGCACGCACGCACGCGGAGGTTGATTTATTTTACGGGATGAGGAATTGGCTCATGCAATTATGGAGGCTGAGAAGTCCGAGATCTTCGGTGGGCAAGCTGGAACATTAACAAGTTAGAGCCCCAAGAGAGCTGATGGTGTGGTTCCAGTGTGCCTGAAGGCCTGAGAACCGGGCAGAGCCAATGTTTCCGTGTGAGTCCAAAGGCAAAAAAAATGCTGATGTCCCAGTTTGAAGGCAGTCAGGCAGGAGGAATTGCCTCTTACCTCCTGAGGGAGGGTCAGCCATTTTGTTCTATTCAGGCCTTCAACTGATTGGATGTGGCCCACCTATATCAGGGAGGACAGTCTGCTTCACGGAATTGTAGTGATTTAAATGTGAATCTCATCCAAAAAGTGCCCTCACAGAAATGCTCAGAACAATGTTTGACCAAATAGCTGGGCATCCATGGCTCAGTCAAGTTTATGCACAAAACCAGCCGTCACAATGGGGAGGGCATAGGTACAGGTCACTCTCCACAGAGGTCTTGGCCTCTGGTAGATTCCCTGGAGCGTGTTCCAGCCCGGTGGTAGCGAGGGTACACATTGGTAGTGAGGGTTAGGCTGTCTAGGTGGTGGGCCAGGTGCCGTGAGTTCTTTGTCTGACTCATGGAAGGGAGGAAGGACCTCTCTCTGCAGCTTCCTGGGCTCCTCAGGTCCAATCACCAGAGGTAAGATGGCCCAGGGCCTCCGGTGTGGGCCAGGAGGAGCTGAAATGAACTGACCTAGGTGACAAAAGTTCATGCTGATGACAAAGGATTGTTTTCAGCTCTGTGGTAGAAGGAGCCAGGTTACTGGGGGGAGGTGGACAGTGCAGGAGGGATGGCTGCCTTGACTTCCATTTCTGGACCAACTCTAGCCTTGGGACGGGGGAGGGAAGATCTGCCCTCCCTTCTCCTAACTGCCCCAGGTGACTTCTCTACCTCTCCCCATCCCTTCCTCCTCCCAGCCGCTGCTTCTAGTTCCTCATCCCTAGCTGCTTGCTGCTGTGGTTGAAGGGAAAGCAGTCAGCTCAAGACCCCACTTACGGTCGGGTTACAGGACGAACACCAAACAGGATTAGCCTCGTCCTTACAAAGCTGAGTCCTTTGTATTTTAGAGAGAGTGGGGTCTCCTCCTTTCTAGACAAACCTAACCCATGACGTTTTGTAAAACCTCTCTTGAGAATCTTCCACTTGGAGTAGATTATGTTAGCCAAACGTAAATAAATTGTGCTCCCAAGTCAGAGCATTTCATTAACGATGCTGTCCATAATTAGAACCATTGCGAGGACTTCTGCGTATTGTAAAGGGCAACTCAAATAGAATAAGAAAATAATAGAAAACATTTATTGTTCGCTGTGTGCCCAAAGGTCCTGTACGATGTGGCTTGTGTGCCTTATCTCGTTTTGTCTTTGGAGTAATCCTGTGGGGTAGATGCTGTTACTTGTCCCCCTTTTCCAGATGAGAAAGTGTGACCTGGGAAGATGAAATAACTTGCCAGCATGGATCCCACATTGATTAGACTGGACACATCCTGACCCCATACAGCCCATGCCTTTAACCCTGTGGTATCACCTCCAATTACATTCAGCTGTGACTCAGAGCTCTCAGTCCGGTCAGGAGGCCCCAACATGGCCCCTGTCGTCCCGCAGGTTTGGCAGGACTTGCTTCTCTGCACACGAGTTAAAAGCATCAGTCTGGTAGACCCGGACAGCCCAGAGGGGGTCCGCTCCTAGCTGTGGTGTTATCAGAAAAGCAGCCGCTGAGGCAGTTTGGTTTCTTTCGAATGCTTGAGATATGATTGCATTTGAGGGAAAGAACTTCACAGAAGTCTACTTCCCTTTCCCAAACATCTGCTTGGCTCTCGGGCTGAGGGGGAGAGCCTGCTGGAGAGGATGCAGGCTTGGAGGCCGTGCTCTACACCCCCATTTTACCAGCTTGAAGGGGATTGTGGCCCACCCACCGGGCTTTCTGAAAGAAGCAGAGAATAAAGAATATATATATATATACA